AATACATAATATAAAAAATAGCTTTAGAATTTAAAAAGCCATATTAGTAATAAAGTTGTCTTAGCCATAATACAAAAATGTGATGAAGAACATAATTTTCCGCATATTTACGTTTGTGAAATGGAAAAAATCAGATTACCATGTATGAAAGATCTAGAGATTGTCGGGGGACAGGATAAATGGACACAACCTTTAATGTATTTGATGTAGAAATTACCCTTACATTAACTTAATTTCAGAATGCATAATGTGTTGCTTGATAACGTCTCTAACAACACTCAAAATAACTTTCAATAGAATGTACATGTGTATACAATTAAATTCATTCGGGAATTATAAAAAATGTTAGTAAAAAATATACAAAGTTTGTCACCACGTTTGTCCTCCACGTAGATTTTACACCCTTTTTAGAAATATATATCAAAAAAAGGACAATATTTGATTATTTTATTTTCTGTCAATAGAGTTCAATTAAATATTTGAAATGTGCAGTATCAAAAATTTACTAAAATAAATTCGTCATTCATATAAAAAAAACGGACAGGATTTTATTGTTAATGGCCTATATTTATTATACTTGTATAAATATCATTGAATCATGATAAAGTGGAGACGATACGATTGATACATTAATTAAAGGCAGTATTAGAGTGGACATGTAATCAGGTTCCACTTGTTCGCAATTATTATGACATTAGTGACAGTCATGGCTACACTGAACCCTACCAAGAAACAAGAAACTTTCCCTGGCAGAATATACTGTGCACGTCTTTGCACGGATGAAATCCACATTTTAAACAACCAACCAAGAAACTTTGCGCCTTCTAATACCACTAATCCACAAGTTGTGTTAGTAAAAGAAACAAATAGATCTCTAGAAAATCAAACCTTAAAAATATAGAGCATTGAAATAACACATTGATTTATCCAGAATTAGAAGATACTAAAAGCATGTTGCTTTTATTATTTATATATAAGAAATTTTATGTTTAAGACGACCAAGCACTATGTTTAAAAATAACCAACAATTTAGAAGTATGAATATTCCACGATATTCTTTCGACGTAAATACGAATTTTTAAATCATGTATATCAAAGAGCAATGTAGAAACAAATTAAAACATTTTTAAACTCTAAAAATAGGACAGGAAAGAGCAATATTGGACTAGCTAAAATAACAGATATTTCAATAATTTTATGAGGACTTGCATAGTGACATTTTAAGCTTTTGTATTTTGTATTTGATGCCATATATTCATATGACGTCCAGAAATTTATAGTTCAATACTTATTCGAAGTCATACCAGTTAAGTCCCACCCTATTACCCTAACTGGGACGTAAATTATGAATGAGTTCCAATATATTTCTCCTTATGAAAAATTATAATGTCACTAATATATATATATATATATATATATATATATACACGGAATTCATATATTTTATGTAACCTCATTCTTTACAATGTACTAGGCCAAGACATTACATTAAAATCAACTAAAAAACGATAATGCCGGTACAAGTCAAACGAAGTGTGCTTAAATTTGTTGCAAATGATTGAATAAAAACCATAAAGTTAACTTCACTTAGTTAACTTAAAAGTTTTATACCAGTATCAAAGGACTTTTGAAATATTTGTGATTTAAAACAATTATACTTATTAACCAGACATTTCCTTCCGTAGCAATCGTTTATAAGTCAGTCTATCAATTAAGGATAATTTATAATAAAAATCTGTTTTCCTACTTGACCCTACCAAAAAAAAAAAACAATATAAATATTCGTCAAACACATATATTTTTTTAAGTTATTAAATTTTAAAATTTAATAGTGATACAATTTGTAGAGTCTCTGAGCATTTTTAAGCGCCATACTTTTATTATTTCGCTGTATTCTATTTAAAGTATACCTTAGCCTACATTCTTGTATATAAAAAAGTCTAATTATATTTTCTTATATTTCTTACACTCAGCATGAAATACTTTTGAGTATAAATTAATTAATGAAAATGCTTTCAACAAACATAGATATATTAATAAAGTTTTTGAATAAAATGTAAATCTGTTACATTGACTGTCATCTAAAACTGAAATAAAACCAAGTCAGATTTACTTGTTCTTCTTTTTTCTTGTTAATGAAAATGTGAAATGTAAAAATCTTAAGTCTCAAATCAAATGATCTTAGACACTAAGTTAAAACTAATTATTCGTTTGAAGAGAATTGTTTAATGAACAGCAAAAGGACAATTGCAAATATCAGAAATAAAACGAAATAGAGAACAAAATGATCATAACCGCTTCCATTAATAAAATAATATTTCAAAGTCACTTTAGGATTAACACTTTAAATTAATTGCTTAAGTATTGTAAACTTTCGTAGAATTTATAAACTGAACGGAATTGCTTAGGCATGTTATTTAAAGCCGTATAGCCCAAAATGTCTGTAAAGCCGTATAGCCCAAAACTTGTTAAATTGGAGCCGGGCATAAACTGTTTTACTGTCAGAAATAGAAACTTTATACAAATGCCAGTTAATGACGATCTATTACTTAACCGAGCAATTTATCACCATATTGATACTTGGTGACTTGCAATTATAACACTCAACAAATATGTAGAGGTTTCTTGTAATTGATGTTTGTATACCTTACTGTAATTTTTTGGAAAACGTAATTGAGAATATTTCAAGAATTATATTTACAAAATATACATTAATTCCTATGAGTAACATTTGCTCATTTGTTGTAGTAGCAATAATTGCAAAAAAAAGGAAACCATACTTTTACATATCTTAATGATTTATTTATTTTTATGTCAAAGTTGGCAAACGAGCACACGGCCTACATGGTGTAAGGTATTACTATATTATTATGTTAGTTATGGATGCGTTGCCAACCTTGTTTTTTTAGGAATAGGAAGGGGTAGGAATAAGGAAATGGTAGGAAAGGGTGGGAAATAGGAAAAGGACTCTCTCACTCATCGGACGAAACGCAGCCACAAAAGGCTACTTCAAGCCGATCTTCTGTGAGAGGGTGGTACTTCCCCGGTCGAGCCAGCCCATATTCGAGCTGTAGTAACTTACCACAGCTAGGCTCTACCACCTAAAAACATTTCACAACGGCATAAAAAACGATAATAATTTCTCTCTCTTAAAGTTTATTGACAAAATTAATTGACTGTCTTAAAAAAATAATGTCTATTTCGGTACAGAACTTTGTCCTTGTTTTTAAAGCGTCGTTTGGTGAAATGACTTTTAGGCGGATATTACGCGGGCGAAAGGGATAGCTTTCAACACTTCCTATGAGATTTTATTTTTCCATTGCTATTAAAGTATTATTATTAAAAAGGCAATTTGATCAATAAAAAACATTAAAATTTATATACGTTTGCGTATCCGTTGTGTCTTGAATTTGCCTTACATGCCAAAATGTTGCACTTAAAAATTTATATTAATATTATTTAACAGAATATATTGGCCTTTTTAAAACTGAAACTTAAAGTAAATATAAATTGCCACTTATAAAGTGTAATTAATACCCGAAAAATTCCTTAAATGTTAAATAACACAAAAACTATTTTCGAACACCTAACTTGAACTTTTTGAACACCATTTGAAATTATTCCATATAATTCTGAATAACAGACAAATTATTTATTAGATGTCCAAAAAAGATTATGAAATATAATCATAATTGACCGTTTTCACGAAAAAAAGTTCTTTAAAATTTCTAACCATTAAAATAAATAGTTACAAACGTTAAACCTCTATAAAGAGCTATATACTGTGTACCAAGATTGCTTGCTTTAATAACTTAGCCTTTGGCTGCTAAAGCAGATAAAATAATCCGATTTAAATAGATTCCTCTTTAGAAATTAGTAAACTGGACCGGGGATTTGTTCACCTGCTCTAGAGGCTTATAGAAATGTGTTTCGCTCGTGTAATCTGTAATGTTGTTTCAGAACATGAATAACATTTTAAATAAATTAAGCACACATTCTACATATTTAGGTTTATTTATCTCGGGCACGATGGGAGGGTGACATACTTTAGGATATATCTTTGGTAAATATTTTAAAACTGTATATATATATAATGGACTTGTAATAATACACGAACTATTTTGATGTAACGTGACTTGTAGTATGTAATTAGTATATACCAGTTTACAATTTATTGGTTTCATTAAAAGAAGACAGTACTACAGAATAATTAGGATGTATTTCTCTCATAAACGGTTTATGCTATTTTTGTTTATTTTTATATTTTACAACACTTAGGCAAAAACTTTCTAAAGTTATTAACTTATAAATAAAGTTATGAATTTATTGAGATCCTATTCATGTTTTTTTTGTAATTATTATGATAATTAAATGATATTTTGTCATATCAGTTCATAAAAAAAAATCCTTATGAAAAACCAAAAGAAGTAAAACCGTAAATGTTAACCCATATGTCTGTGAAGGCAACAAAAGCTTTTCAAGTATCAAAAAAGCCTTTATTGCGAAATGAGGATTATGTAGATGTTCCTAAACGTTGTAATACCCACTAAGCGTCGCATCAGCGGAAAAAAATACAAGGTAAAGTCAATTGGAGGGAACTGAAAGGGAACGGTTTCGAACTTTATATATTACACAAGAACTCTATAAATTATTATTAAGATATTGCTATACTTACAGAAAAAATATTACGTAAAATTAAAACACTATTAGGCGAAACTGTCAGAGCTTTGTTGAAATAAAACTTTTCTAATATAACTACGAGTTTTTTATTACTTTCTATTCACATACTCCCAACGCGACGTTCCGAATCCTTTACAACAATCGTGATTACGGGCAGATGTGATGAAAGTCTGTCAATTAGTTATTCTAATCGGAATGAAAGCAGAATGAGCTTACTTATATTTTTTGTTCCAGATCAACGCACATAGGCCTAACATGTCCTGAACAAAAACTACACATATTTATGAAGGCACATAATGTGACCCGGTTGTCTCGGCGTGATGCAACTAGTAATGGTTAATTTTCTCATCATGTTTGATGTAGTATTCGTGTTCTTCCTTTTCCTGATCGCGGTGACCTGCTTCATGAACTATATGCCTGGTAGAAGAAGGCAGGAGGTAATTGAGGAAGAGGTGGAAAATGACGTTATTCCTCCACCTCCTTTATTTGCTGGTGACGAAGTTAACGAGGAGTATTCCAGCAGGGACACTTACGTGGTAATTCCACCGCCTATGGGAAACATTATATCGAAGGATGGATGTCCTATACACGTCGTGTAGTACAAGTTTTATATGTAAGTAATATAAATTCAATTTTAAAGATAACAAAAGGAAATTTAAAATTTTAGTCCCAAATGCTAATATATATAAGTGAAGATATTTCAAATTTCTCTATTTAATATATTCTATCGTACTTTATATTGAACAAAAATTCTTTATTTTGTTTTTTTTTAAATTATTATTACATATTTCAGATCAACGTAGGAGTTTATGAAGAAGCCTTATGAAATTGTAGATGTGAAAAAAAAAATAGTAATTTTTTACAAATTAGTCAAATTGAATAAAACAAGTTTTGCAAAGACTTAAACGTGTGAAAATTCGGGACTCAAGTGTTGGTATTCAACTATGAAAAATACTTAAAATGTATCATTGTTAGATAAAAAATTGAGATATTGTGAAACTATTCATATTATAATAATTTTTGTGTTAAAGATTATGAAATGTGTTCGAAACATAGATAAAACCTCGTTTATGTTCATCTTATATATAAAAGTGTCTTATTTTTGTTACATTTTGTATTTTTTTTATTAATATAAATGAATATGACTGAGTACTAGATAATATAGTACATAACTTTTTATCTGTTCTGTAGAATACGTTTTTTAAAATGTCTATTTATTTTTATGATATTATAGGGTTTATGATTTCAATATAAAAAATAATCTATTTGGTGTCTAGCTATAAGGAACCAAATAATATTTACCATGTGGTATTTTAAATGTTTAGAATCTTACTTGATTTAATACAAATAAGTTTTTTTTTTATTTACATACACATATTTTTGTACGACTGAATTTTATTTATTTTGATTATTTTTCTATAAACTAGTCATATTTATGAAACCGTTTTATTACGAAAGTTTATAAAATTTTATGCAAAAAACCTAATTTCTCGTCGGAAATAGCTGTGATGTCATTGATGGATATATAGGGATCCAATACTATAACGAAAAATATTCTAATTTCGCAAGGTATCGCTACGTAAAAGCTTAAAGTAACTCAACACTTAATAGCGATGACTCATAAAATATACAATTGGAACACGGTAACCCAATTTCTTTACCGCCGTCTGGTGAAGGTACTTACTCACCATTCGTATCGCATCGCATTACTATGCGTGAAACTGGTATCGAGATTCTTACGAATTTAGAAATGGGATTCAGTCTGCTGAAAGCTTTATAAAAAAAACTGGAGTGTTTGATAGCCCCGCGATAAGTTAATTTCGAGACGCCGAAGCAAATGGCTATGTCAATAGCAATTTAAGTCATGCTTGTTTTCAACAATATTTAACAAGGCACGTGTTAGATCGGTTAACATTTTGTTATAACAACAAATTGAATATTATGAGCTATTCTGTAGACTTCAATAGTAGTTATTCTAGAGTTAAGATTAACATAATAATGAAAAGACAATACGTATGTACCTATTACGATCATTCCATATCATCATTAAATTATGTATATTTCAGCTGATTACTTTAAATATGTAGACATAGTTTAGTTATATGTGCTATCAATACTTTGTTAGAGGTGTAAGGAATGCCTAACGGATATTTAGTTAGGATGAAACAATGTTGATGTATTAAAATTAATATATTAAATAAAAATATTGTTTTAGAAAAGGTCCATACCTCATTTTGTTATTATTTCCTTTGTATAATATTTAATTGTTACATTATGGCAATAGTAAAATATGTTTCATATAACATGTGATATATATACACAATTTTTATTGTAGTTATAGAAAATGTAATGTTTGAAACCTAATGATGTCCTGAAACCTTTTTTGATGTCATACAATAACATAAACTTTGTAAAATTTTCTATTATTTTAACATTTAATATAATTAATTTTGAATGAACTAACAATTGCCTTAGTGTTATTTTGAACTTTGCCATTAAAAACCAACTGTTATATATTTGAAATCATTAATTTTATTTTGGAGATTTGTCTTTTCCTTTCAATGAATACATTTTCGTACTTTACGTCACCGAAATAGCTTTTAAAGTAAACTAACTTTTAAGAGTTGGTGAAATCTGAAATCTTTACTATGTGGATGTTTTGTTAGGGACGTATATATATTTATCATGTATTTAATAAAGTGCACTAAAGCAATGTTGTGTATAATTTATTTTAGAATATTAAACCTTTTTAAATGATTATTGATGAAACAGTATACCTGGCACGTAATCCTTATCCTTATAGTAAAAATTGACATAAAATATATTCATATTTAATTTACTACAAGGCGGTTATACAAAAGTTCTTGTCTTCGTTGCATTTATGTCGTCATTTTAGCAATTGGGATTTTGAAAAAAAAAGTATTGATTTTTTTTATGTATTTTAAAACTTTATTATTTATTATATTGATTTTTAATGCAAAAAACTTGAAAAACTTTTTTTTAAATTAATTATAAACAATTAAAAATTTATAAAATTCAAAAAAAAATCACGTGACTGTAAACGCGCCATGATTGGTCGGCATACTTGTGACGTCATAATGTTAAAGCAATTTCATAATAGTACAGTGTTTATGGCTATTATCTTTGAATTGATAAAAATATCTCAAATTTATTAGTGAAAAACGATTTGAAAAGTTTATTTCGACTAACTATGTGTGATAAAGGATTTATAAAAGCAAAATCGGATAATATTCCTGATGTTGATATATTTATAACTAATTTTTTCAAAAATGACGTTCGGTTTAATTCTGCTGAAGTTCGAGGTGCTAAGGCATCAAGGTAAATCTGTTAAAAAATACTATTCTAAATGAAAATAAGTATTTATTCTCTATTAAATATAATTAATAATTATTTCATTAATTGTAGAGCATCACGTGAGAGTTACGGTGATAAAGCTATAGGTTATGGTCAACTTAATCGTAAGAATGGTATTTGTGTTTTAAAAGGACGTGTGTGTCCAGAACACCGAGTTCGGAGTAAAGCTTACTCAGTTATCTAACTATCAATGAAAAATTAAGAAGAAGAATAATAAAAGAAGAATTAATAAAATGTTATTATAACATTATAAAAAACCAAAATAACATATTTTTTTTTTTTTTTTTTTTTTTTTTATGTTAAAGGTGGCAAACGAGCAGACGGCCCACTTGATGGAAAGTGGTTACCGTCGCCCATGGACATCCACAACATTTTGTTGCGGATGCGTTGCCAACCTTGTTTTTTGGCGATAGGGAGGGGAGGGAATAAGGAAATGAAGGGAAAGGGTAGGAATAGGGAAAGGGCAACCGGCTCTCTCACTCATCAGACGAAACGCAGCCGGTAAAGGCTACTTCACGCCGATCTTCTGTGAGAGGGTGGTACTTCCCCGGTCGAGCCAGCCCATGTTCGAGCTGCAGTAACTCACCACAGCTAGGCTCTACCACCTTTTAAAAATTTAAATGTAGTCTGATACAGAACCTAGAATGTTATAAAATTATGAAAATATCTATTAATTAAAAAAATTTTAATGCTACGATTCTAAAGGTTATGATTTGGAGCCCAGGTAAAAAAATTAATTACTGAACTATACTTATTCGATTTATACACTTAGATATAAAATAATTAATAACAATATTATTATGAATACTTACATCGAAATGATCTTCACAACAAAAAAAAAATGATTTTGTTTTTGAATAATCTCGGTGCACTGCTTGAAACCATTTTTTTCGACGTTTTTCGTCTTGTGGAACATTTAAAATCATTTTTTCAGGAGTTGTTTTTGTAGTATTTGTACATAATGGTACAAAACAAGAGCGATAACTTTTGAGTTTTAACATTTTTGATTATTTAACAATGCCAACAGAATTTACTACATAAAAACTCAAAACACTGTACTAATTATTATATCTCTGTATGTTACAATGAGCAAAAACTAACATTGTGACGTCACACGCGCTCGGGTTTATTCGGGAGCTGTCGGCGGATCTTCGGTACTGAATTTAAAATTTAATTTTTATTTTGAAATAACTTTTTAATTATTGCAAAGAAAAAATAAATAAAAATAGTTTTGTTATAAAACTTATATATGATCTTTCCATTTATCACAAAAAAAAATTATATTCAAAAACCCAATTACTAATACAAATATTTCAGAAAAGTTGGCAACCTGTTATAAATTTGAAGCTATACTGTTAAATTTAAAAAGATTGTTATTATTATAATGCAATTAGGAAAATTGCAAAAATTAAGTGTTTGTACTGAGGTAAATTTCAATTCTTTTAATAAATCTTAATACACATTTATAACTTAACAAAGAATATTTTTGTTACTATTCGACAGTTAGCCAATAAATTTACCTTCGTCAATAAACTGAAAAACGTTAAAAAAGAAGTTAAGTGTTTCTAAAAGCACGGAGGACTAGGAATTCTGAAAATTTATTTACGCACTCGTAGCTTCTAATATTTCACTCTACAATGTCAGGACTACAACACTTTTTATCTATAGTGGATATTGATAAAGACAGATATATAATTTTTATTATAAATAGTTATCTTACGTAAATAAAAATATTTACTTTTATTCTAAATGTGCCAAATGTTCATAATATAAAAAAAATTGTCAGACTGCAAAAATAATAAGTATTAAAATTCCTGTTAGAAATTATGTATTATTCTATTTTTATTAAACGATAATATCTTTTGGATTTCCTACCCTAGATAAATCATATCACAATAAATTCAATAGTTTTTTTGTCTTCGAGCTAAATAAAATTTCGTCAGTTTAATAAGTTTTTATCTTATATATCACATTTTCCTAGCTTCTTTTCACAAATTATCAAAGATAGACGACAATTCCACAGGTCGTGTTTTCTACTCCATAGAAAATTTACGAAAGTATCATTTCTCTTGTTTATTGCTTTGTGTACCTTTAGACAAATATGTATAAGCCTCTTATACGTAACTTTAATTTCATTGTATGATCACATATCCAACTATTTTTAAGTTTAAGTTACTCTGACTTATTCAGTTTTCTGAAAGATGAAATAACTTCTTAAATTTAA